CAAATATATTCTTTGTTTTGATAATTGTTTCCATTTTCTCTTATGCACATATGCTTTACTGCAGAGAGAAAATGCTTGATATTAAGCTATTTTTCTACAAAAAACATGCAAACATTTCTAATTTGATAGCAAAATATTTTGTTATACACCCATTAGGTATTTTTTATTTCAGGTAGGAGAAAAACTGCCTGACAAGCATTCATGGAATGACTGATTTAAATTTTATAAATCCCTGAATTTTTCATCTCCCTTTGAACGGAATGCCAAAGGGGATTAAAGACTAAAGACATATCGCAAACAAATTTACATTATTAAAATTACTGTAATCAAGAGTCTTTTCTGGCCTTAATCAGGATTAGTAAAAAAAAAAAACCAAAAAACAAACCCAACTTTTCTACTGTGCAATACTAATCAAAATTCTATCAAATGACAGATAACAGAGTAAAAGCAGTTTTGAAAATTAAAAATATTGGTTGGTGTATTCTCATTTTCTTCAAAAGTATTTTCACCTATTTGAGATCAGAGCAATGATTTCTCTGCTGATAATTCACATGGCAGGCAACAAGCATCGGTAAAAATAAATTTCAGTAACGTTGCGAAGTCCGACCTCCTATTTTCAGGAGCGCGTCCAGGAAACACACTTGTTTGAACATACGCTATGGAAGCAGGAGGGAAAAGCGCAACGTGGACTGCTTGGTTTTGTTCTCCTAAACTGTAAGCCAAACAATCCGAGTTGTGGAAAACTCGAGTAGAAACCTGCCGTACGTCAGAACTCAGCCCTGCAGGACACGCACCGCCACTCTCTCGCTGCTGAGCGGGCAATAAGCAGGTTTGATCTGAAGAACCGTCAAAGCTTTTAAGCGAGGTCTTTATCCACCCTGCCCTACGCTTTACAGTCACGCTACAAGGCTAATACAGTAACGGGATAAAGCTTGTACAGATTTTTCTGGTCCTCTGGAGCCTCTTAAAGAAGAGCATTATGCTGGTTTCGGAAACCACCGCTGTGCTCTGGAGCATCAGGCCCCATCTTGCTGTCGCTTGTATCACCAGAAATGCCGCCAATTAGTAAAACAGCAGCAGGATTGGACCCTACGTTCATTTCGCCCTTGTAAAATGTCAACTACTATTTTAAAATGGAAATTATAGAAATGTATACGTAAAGAACAATCCCGAAAAGTGATCTGAGAACAATGACCAATCACTTTCTTAAGTCTCGGAGACAAGCTCGGCAACGCAGCAATATTCAGATACTGTGACAGCGTGTCAGATAATCAGCTATGCGGACTGAAGAACATGGAAAACTGCCTGATTCTCATGGCTTCTTTCTAGGAACTCCAACTGATTTAACTTTTTGCTGGTATCTGAAGTAGACAGCCACCTTCCAGGCCCTCCATCTTCAAACCTGTTGCTCCCCTGTATTTGGTTAAACAAGATTTTACCTTGCGAGCTCAAGACTGCTGATGTTAAATCTTGATTGATGCAGTGCAAATTGACAGCAGCTTCCAACTCCCTATTAGTAAGGTTACACAGGTTAGTAAAACATTAGTTTTAGTTAATGACTAGAATTACACAGCTGAAAAAAGCAACAGACAGTGGAGCAGCATCTCCTCTTTGCGTCTCTTCCTAATGATGCCTCATGCTGATCATTCTTGAAGTTTAAAGAAAAACTAAATCAGGTTAGAAAACAATATATTATCTTTAACTGAAAGTGGGCATTATGTTTTCTTCGAAGTATGAACATACCAAGATAACGAGTACATTAGAACACATGATCTGTATTTCAGTTCCATTGAGCATACACCATAAATCCTTCTTGGAAAAAAAGCAGGTGTCATAACAAGAACATTTGAGCAGAAAGAAGATCTTCAGCATTTTGAAGTCCTCCCTTCATAGTCTCTGAGACACCAACTGGAAGCAGACACTTAAAACCTTACATGGTACACAAAATAAGGTTTTTTTTCATATGCCAGAGGAGGGGAAAAACAAGTGACAAGTTACGGGATCTCACCCCCAGGATAACCATGCACATTTGCAAGGTTAGCACCGATGCTTCACACACACAAATGCAATAGTCAGATGCTAGTTTATCCCCTCCCAACAAAATCATCTCTCCAGCGGTATTAGGCATTCACTCAGCAGCGGTTTTAGCAGCAGCTCAGCACAAAGCGTAAATCACATCGAAATAGATGCCTTCCTGTCAACGGGGAACGCAAAGGGCTCTGTACGGGTCTCAACTCTGCATGAGAAGAGCTAAAATCCTGCAAGCCCGTGGTGGCTAGAAGCAACTCGCAGGACTGAACTTTCGGATTGAGAAGTTAAGTCAACTTTGCTTTAGTTTAATATTAGTTTGTTTGTTGCAGGAAAAGTTATGACTGGACTTCTTTTTCCTTTTGAATTAAAAAACCTGTACTCTAAGGTTGATTTTAATAATGATTTACAAGTTTCTCTAGTATTGCTTTGATAAGTTCTACATTTCTGTTTGTAATACCTAGCCTTTTAACAGTACTTAGATACTCAAGCTTGCTATTTTTTCTATCAAAATTTTCTTTAATGCAGGCTTTGTCTTCTGCATTTGAAATTCCACGTTTAGCCTCCTGAGACCGTTTAATTCCAGGTGGGCTCTCAGAAGGTGGATTTTTAGGATTCTAGGTAGATATGGTAATATGAGCAAGCTTTTTACTCATGTAAATTATAGGAAAAGAATTAAACAATCACTGTACTAAAAACCATTGTTCCAAAAATAGCTTGTCTCTAAGACTATGAAGACTTTTTTAGGCTCTGAAATCAGTGAGCCACTTTTTTTGCCATAATTATTTGAGAAAGCAGCAATTATAAATTCCATTATTATTAGTGTAAGTCTTTAACCAAACTCATATTTAATATTAAGCTGTTAAATACTTTATTGTCCAACTATTTTAGTTTTGGTGAAAAATGAACAGTTAACTAATCTCCATTTAAATATTCCCAACTGCTCAATCTTCTATAATTTTAACCAGAAGTAATACAGATTTACCTAAAAATCATGATTCTCCGTTAAACTGACCCTTTTTTCAAAATATTATCTAGCAACAGCTCAGTCTGCAAAATTTTAAATGACCTTTGCTGATTTGCAGTTTCCAGTCATTTTTGCTTCAGTAGTGGTTTTGGTCGGCTTTCGCTTCATCAGATGCCTTTTAAGAGTATTTTCAAGGTTTTCCTTTATGGAAAAAGGTACAACAGATAAACTGTTCTGTAAAACTATTCTGTAAAAAAAGAAGAAATGAAGATATAAAAATGGGAGTGAGCAGGAACCAGTTTTAAACATATGTCTTTATGAATGAGGCTGAATCACACACTTCGTTTTCCAAACACAAAAAGCCTTTTGGAAATGTATTAATTAAAATTAAGTGCCACAGACAAGCGGCTTTAGAGGGATGGCAGTCCTTTTCAAATTAGCATAACACTAGCGACAGGCATGGAAATTGGTTTAATAACCCTAAATAGTTACACCCCACTCCTAACACAAATGGCCATGGACAGCTCTAGCCCCTCAGGCTGCGACTGTACCAGTTTGTGGTTGCTCTGACATTGGGTGGGTATTCCGATCTGAACAGAAATCACTGAATGCACCTCAATTATTATTATAATATAATGACTAGTGAAGCATACAAGGCACCAAAGCGTTAAACATCATAAACCAGAAAACCAAAGTAAACCAACACAATCGGCATCAAAAACTTAGCCAGCGAAGGACTCACTTTCTAACTTTTACTAACACAGTCAATGCTTGGCAAGAGATTTAGTTTAGTCACGATATTAAGTGGCCCAAACCCCACAGGTAGGTCTAGGGTCAAGCTGTAGATGTAACAGAAAACCAAGCCAAGGGGATAAGCCGAGTCTTTAAGCGATTTCCTTCCCTGACATGTTTTACATGGGTGTCCTCAGAGCTAAGCTGGATGCTACAATAACCCCTTTTAACCACCACTTTCAGGGCACAGCATTCTCCGGCAAGTGTCAAAATACACAAGCTAAATCTCTACCTACTTAACTCTAAACGTCAGGCATAAACGACAGTTTTTTCTGTGCTCACGATTCATGAGAAACTGGAGAAAAAACAAATCCCTGCTGATAAGGAGCTGAATGTCCACAAACTTTTTCCAAGTATCCCGGTCATTCAGCTAACTCCACAACGCTGCTCCTCGGCAAAGGACTGCCACCTCCGTCTCCGCTTTACCTTACTTCAGCGGGGGTTTTGCTTTGACTGCCAGCTGGTTTTAGAGACATGTAGGACAGAGAAAGTGGTTATTCATGTCTTTTATTTATTATAAATACATATAAATATGTTAAGTGACCTTTTGCTTTGTTTATCATGATGAGCAACAACTTTGGAAAATCATCCGGAAAACTTAACCAAGCTGAGAAACAGGCAAAAAGCAAGCATTAGCATACAATCACAGGTTCCTCTCAGTTCAAGAACAGGTTAATTTTTTTTTTTAAGAGCAAAAAAAAGCATCTTAATTTGAAGCATCTACCGTTTTACCAAGAGCACCGAACTTCCCCCCTCCCATGAGCTGACCAAATGACATTTTCATTTGGATTTGCGGGTGCAGTCCAACCCCAGCTGGCTACATAGGACACCCCCCCATGGTTCTGAAGCATTGCATAGTTTTGCATCTGGATTTTGCTTCCCCCCCCCTCCTCTTAAGTTATTTTTAACACAGGTTGATCATGTCAAAGAAACCTCACTGAGGTTTCCATTTCCAGATCTCTCTCCCTCCCCGTTTTTCTATAGTTTAGTTTAAAAACTGCTCAAAAACTTCGTAGATCAGAGCAAGCGGAAAAGCAACATTATGCTCACAGTCCACTAACAGGCTGGGAAGGAAATAACTACAGATGAAGTTGCATGTGGGGGGTAACTAAACAATGTTGAAAGTGGGCGCTTTGGGGTCCACGTAAACTGCCAAGTATTTCCAAAGGGGGTGTGGGGAGGGGGGTATTTAAGAGAAGCAAACAAAAAGAAAACCCAGACTTAACTGATGGTAGGAAGCCAGGGCTGATGGTAGCGGAAAGAAAAGTGCACAGAAAAAAAAAAAAAAGAGAAAATAAAAAGCCCGAAGAAGCCAGAAGTCAAGGCTTGTCATTACAGTGTTTGCAGAGGGCAGAGGCGGCTCCTGTGAAGGCAGTGCATTTCTCGGGGCAGCCGGGCAAGGCCGTGCCGCCGAAGGGGTAGATGGCCGACTGTCCGAAGGGGTTGAGGGTGGCGGGCAGCGGGGTGCTCAGCGTCTGGCCCTGGTTCAGGTAAGCCACCAGCCGCCGCATCTCCTCCAGGGCCTGCGCCTGCATGAGGATGTAGTTCTTGGCCAGGAGCAGGGTGGCGATTTTGGAGAGTTTCCGCACCGAGGGGCTGTGGGCGTAGGGGATGACGGAGCGCAGCCCGTCCAGGGCATCGTTCAGGTCGTGCATCCTCCGCCGCTCCCGCGCGTTGATGCTGAGGCGCAGCGAGCGCTGCTCCTTGGGCTTCTTGCCCAGGGCTCCCCCCTTCAGCTTGCCCTCCGGCTCGAAGGCCGCGCCGCCCTTCACCCCGGCCTCGAAGCCGTCCTCCTCGTCGCCGCTCTGCTCGCCGCTGCTCTCCGCCGACTTGCCCAGCGCCCCGGGGTGGAAGTCCGCC